CTCGGTGTTACAACTTGCAACAACATATCCGCTGATTTCCAGGGAAACCGCCGATTGGATATGTTTGGGCCTCAACCCTCCGCAACAAACACTTGACAGTCATAATTTGCAGAAGTCAATGTTTGATTTTGAGATGTTGAGTTCCGCAGATTTCCTTGGAAATCCTCCGAAGTCCAAGGGTTGGAAGCAAATCCTCCGAAGTTGGCTCTTGATTTTCAATCTTTGACTTCCGACGATTTTGTATATGTCTAGGGACTTCCGCAGATTTCCAAGGAAATCTGCCGATCTTGACCTTCAAAAATCAAGACATGAGTTCCGCGGATTTCTCCAAAAAAACATTTTTTCCACATTCTAGCTGCTAGCTCCATTGGTTGAAGACAGTGCTGGGGCAGGCTACTGCCCAAAACCATCTCGCTCAGCTTGCTTCAACACCGCTTTGCTGATCGCTTCACAAAGATCTTTGGGGTATATTTGCGCAGCTTTGCTGCGCGACACTCCTCCTTCACAGCCTTCTATGGGGCAATGCTTGTGGTTGCCCAAGCATCTGACATTCTGAAACTCTTCAACAATAGCTGGACAGTTTGTGAGGAATACAGTGCTTTTCTGCACTGGGATGCCATCTTGCAAGGAAACCAAACCAAATCGGCACTGGTCGAAAACAAGTTTGGTGTGTCGCTCAGCCAATCGCTTCACCTGAGCTGCAGAATTCACAAAAATGTCCACATCAAAGCCAAACATACAAACCTTAGATGCAACTGTTCTATTCAGCTAGTGTGCTTGCAAGTTGCATTGTTGCGATTCCAAGCCTGCGAGCCTTCTGGATTTTCAATGCAATAGTATCGACCACACCGGCTTTGCATGTCAGCCAGCCAGCAACTCAGATCGATGTGACCCAATGCCTCTTGAAGACGCGCATACTTGGTCAATGCATCCATTTTGGCCCAATTGCAATACATATATTTGCACAGCAATGTGCACGGAGGAGACAGCATCAAAAAAAAGGGCTGCTGGCTGCAAACATCACTCAACAAGCAGTGTTGCACATCTCCATTGGTCAGATCGAAGCAGTTGACTAAATCTACACTGCGGAGCGCGCGCCCTCCCAAAGCCCGCATCACAGGAGCCACACGTGGGTGGGAAAAAATTTCCCACAAGTGACAGCGGCGCTGAGCACTGAAAAGCATAGTATGGGAGAACATCATGTCATTGATGTCCGAAAAGGGCATGTCAGGCCTCAGCTGGACAACCACGCGTAACAATAGAGACAGGGAGGGTGAAACACATGCCGTGGAGGATTCAATTTGGAAACTACCAGTGCATAGTGCATTCAAGTCACTTGCCAACAAAAGACGACACCGCCTCCAGGTAGTCTTTGGTTGATTCAGCATAGGGCTTCGGTTTCGGGCCTAAAGCAGCGCAAGGCTCAGACTTGTCCTTGGCTTCAGCTCGCTGGACCTGGCATTTTTTCGCGGCTTTTGCCTTGCCTTTGTTTTTGTGTCCGCGAGGTCTCTTAGTCAGTGGCTTTGGAGCACCAGCAGCTTCGCCACTCTTTGCAAGTGACACTGAGCCATCAACCTGAGACAGGCCTTGCCAAACACCCAGGTCAAGGCCTTCGTCATCCTCTGGTAGCAAGAGAGCCATGGCTACCACACACTCTACAACCCTTGTGCGCGAGCCCCAAGCAGTCACACCTGATTTCATCTTCGTGTGCATGCTGCATGACAGTCAGGCAGTATAGTGCACACGCACAAACAGCTATGGTAATTTTCCCCGGAGACTTGCAGAAGATTGACTTCTGCCATGGATTGGCCATGCGTGACAGCATGGAATGCAGGACTTCATTTTTAGAAGCCCTCCCCAAAGCTTACAAGCTGAATCCCACTTCACACACTCCACTATTATGAGGCAAGAAGTCAAAGGGCGAAGTCATTCTATGCTTGTGCCCAAGGAGACACTTATGTTACTTATATTTCCTCGCTTTTGACGTTCCTTTAACTTCACCTCTAAGCAATCGATCGGCTCACATCTTACGGCCACGACCTCGTCCACGACCTTTTGCGCCTTTGCCACCTTTGGCCGCCCCTTTGCCACCTTTGGCCACCCCCTTGCCACCTTTGGCAGTGCCTTTGCCACTTCCATCAGCTCCTTTCTGGCCACCCTTTCCACGCGGGCGATAGTTTGGATTTTTGCATTGACGGCAGCCATCCGGTGACATTCTGCATTTCGTGCATCCCAGAGGCCTAGCTGGAGCCTCAGCAGCTGGAACATCAGGTGGCAACGCCACGGGTGCAGGATGCGCATTGTCGGCAGCAGCAGTGGCAGCTCGCTTCTTCTTCTCCCGGAACCTCTCTTGCACAGCTTGCACGCTGACACGCTGGGCTGCTGTCAAGGCATCAGCAGCAATGACACGCACCGGTCCAGGTGCAAATTTCTCCCACCTGAAGAATGACATAGCGAAACCATACCACCATCAATGGAAATCACTCACGATGCCAGACTCTCAGGCAAGCGCCCTGCATCACAAGGCTGCGAAACATCACGCGTGTAGGAGAATATCCACGTGGGCAGCACAGCAGCCGGGAAGGTTTGGTTGCGATTGTTTTCCTGAATCAATCTGATGTCAGCTTGTCAAACAAACACAGAGGATGCAGTTTGCCAGCAAGCATCCACATACTGCCGCAAGTACGATGCTGCCAGGTGCAAGTTCCAAGGATCTAGTTCCACGGTTCGTGCCGTGCGCAAAAACCTCCACAAGCACAGGATTTTCAAAAACAGGATAGCCTGAGGCGCCAGCAAAAAAACATCTGAGTTTACAAGCCAAATGGCTCATCGCACTCACGAGTGCCCAATGTTTTTTCGCGGCTGCGCTTCAACGCATACACCTTGAACCCTTTGCAAGTAGTCAAAGGGCAAGACCAGCAACGGCTGCTGGCTCAAAGCTTCCGAACTCACCCATTCCTTGGCAAGCATGACCACGTCATTGTCATTTTGGCAGTAGTCCTGCCATCCAAAAGAAAAACAAAACACGTGAAAAATCACAATGCAAATGAAACAAGAGACAGGCCTGATTTGTGAACTCTTGAACTGTCCAAGAGATCTCCCGCGATGCGTCGTACTTCGGCAAATCCTTGATCAATCTAAGAAATACAGTGTAACCAACATCATTGGCAAGATGAAAGACACTTCCAAATCGCATGCCTTCACTCAAACATGTTAACCACTTTCCTTGCAGAAGAGCAACTGCACGGCGTACAAATCTCCAGCAATGATTTGTGTGGGGCTGCGGGTTGGAGCCTCTGGGATTGGGAACCAAGCCAGAGACGACCACATCAAACTTGTCCACAAAAGCCTTGAAGCTCAAAGAGCTGGTCAGCACTTCACAGACCAATTGGCGGCCACGACTGGGCACCATGGTCTTCCGGATGTTTTCGACAAAATCCTGCACAAGTGGCGGTGCGGCAGAAAGACCAAGAATTGCTTGGAGCCTAATGTACTGGACTGAAAAGAAATAATTGTCCTGTGGATGCTGCAAGACTTGGCAAGAACTCAGTGCAGAACTCAGCACTGAAAATCTTTGATCGAGTGGCCCATGAGTGTGACCCACATCCCCAAAGATGTGAGTCAAGCTCGCGAGCCTTGGCAGACACAAGCAACCCCAAAAAGGGTGTCACACAGTGTCACAGCAGGCTGCCAGACCCATAAACAAAGCTGGCACCCAGCCATTGAATTAAAATTGTTGGCAGTGCAGTCAAGCTGTCATCCAAGCAAAAGCTTGCTGACCGACCATCCCAGAACCAACCAAACCAAAAACCAACTCACCGACGCGAAAGCTGTTGTGGGGGAGGAGATGTCAAAAGGCATTAGCATTTTTTGCGCAGCCTGGAAGCAGTTCCGATTCCTTGTGACTAATCACTATCTAAGCTGCCATCACTCTCCGCAGGGCTTGAATTCCCCTCATCATCAGGCCATGGAAAATCACTCAAAGGGTAGGTATGCATCCCATGCGCCACAATTTTGAGGGGGCGACGTTCGTAGTGCCACTGAGAAAAGAAATGCTGAGCTGTGGGAGATCTCCAATGGAAGGAGCGGCAAGACGATAGGAACTGTGGTGGCGGTGTGTACAGCTCATCTGCCTGCAAATGGAGCAGAGTCAAGCCCACCTCTCGGTTCAATGCCCTCAATGCCCCGTACGTCTTCCAATTTGGCCAAACGCCAGTGAACACAAGTTCGGATGGCCAGACCAATGTGTTGGTCTGAAAAAAGGGCCGCAAATGGCGAGTCAACTTCTGGGCCCGTTCTCGGATGATGCGCAAATTCTCTGCGTAAGTTTGGTCACTGCCTTCGTCCAAGATAATTCCACATTGACATGAAAGACCGCACAGCAAGACTAGCTTCCACAAGAAGTCCATAAGCACTGGTGTCACATCATGGCTTTGCGCCATGGCCCACCCAAAAAAGTACAGAAGTTGAGGGATCGTGTTTGAGCTGCCAGCAGCGAGCGGGCGGGTATTTTGGGACAACCAACTGCCGCTCAACCAATATCACCTGAGACCACACATAAGTGCAGGCAAGGTGCCGGCCAGAACCAACCATGTAAGCTTCCAGCAGCCCCATAAATTGGTTTTTGCCCTCTTTGGTGCAATTATCTGTCTGCAAAAAATCAAGAGCCAGAAGCGCACAGTCTGTCACTTGCTCCAAAGCAATGATGGATGCTCAATAATTCCCATACAAAACTGAAAGTAGCATTTGCTACAACCCACCTCTAGGACGCCGTGGTGTGGCAAACTGGTACCACGCTTCTTCAGCTCACCCATGGCAGCATCCATGGCATATGAAAAGATCGTGGCTTCAGTAGACGAGTCTTTGAAAACATCACCTTCCAAAATCCAATAGCACTCAACTACCTCAGTGAAATGACAGCAAAGAACCCAGGCAACAGGGTCTTGTTGGGCAAGGTGCTACTAGTAAATTTGGTAAGCAAGAAATGTCAGGTTGGGCAAGGTACTCCCCAGAATAAAGCACCATGAAGATGCAACTGCGGGCGCCATACTGCCTCCAAGGCTTTGGCGTTGGAGGTATTGCGAGGCACACGAAATTTGGCTTCGTCGCAGGCATCCACATCCACCTTGAACAGTTCATGCTGGTTGTCTTTCCTGCCAGGGCGAAGAGCATCCTCAGACAAGTGGTTCATTCTTGTCTGGGCAGTCCGCCACTGCATCACCATGTTCAGGTGGTCTGACTGAGCTCGTAGAACTTGTTGCCTTTCATCGCCCCTGGCAGTCTTCATTCTTTGTGTGAATTTGGCACAGGTGGTGCACCTGGGCAATGGGCCCCCCCCAAAGAATAGCTGCGCCAGGTTAATCTGGACATGCAACAATGACCGCAGTACTAATCAGAAGCCATGCGCGCGCCTGGCATGCTGGCTGAGCTTGCGAAAGCCCAGGCGATCCTTCCACTCTTTGCAAGTCGCTTCAAAGAGTGTCCTTCCTGCTCGCTCTTCTGGCGGGAGGTCATGAGAACCACACCAAATCTCATACTCACCACGGAAAGCCTCCCATGTCATCCAATGCAAGAATCTCTTCTGTCGGCCTTGAAGACCTCATTCCCCACTTCAGTATATATGTCAAATTACATTGTGAACCACTCAAGGCCGTATCATAGACTTCTACACCTGTTACTCTTAAAAAATGCAAACACCACAAACCATGGAACTGTTTTAATGACACCATGATGGTAGGTACCACAGGCTTACCAGTTTGGGCACGCGCAAGTGGAAAAGGCTGGCATGCCCGATCAGCAATGCATTGCAGCCAGACCTGAAAGGCTAGTGGGCCAAGGATGCATGCTGGCAGCCAGACCTTAAAGGCTGGCACGCACAAGCACGCACCTGGACCACTAGACCTCACAAGCTGGCAAGCAAGGCAATGCCAAAGAGCAGCCAGACCTCCATGCTGGCAGACAGACTTGCAAAGCTGTCCTGCCAACAAATGCAGCAACTAGCAGCCAGGCCCTGCAGCTGGCACACTGGCCCACCGGCAGCCAGTTCTTGCAGACAAGCAGCTACCCAAGTCAGCCACATTAGCCGCACAGGGGTTGAATTCTGCAGTGGCAGCATCTACAAATTGGCTTTCCGATTGACCTGCTTGTAGCAAACCTTCAGGTAATCCATGGTCTTCCATCTCAGCAACACCTGGCAAAGACGTCCATACATGTGAAATAGCGCGATTTTTCACACTGCCAGACTGCGACCAAAGCACCACTGGTGCCCACCAATGAACGAACATATGGATCGTATTCAGCCACTTCTTGTTCAGCCAATGGTTCAGCCTCGAAAAACAACCACTGGACGATCAACTTTCTGGTTCAAAAAAAAAGCACTCACCAACCAAATTCCAAATTGAGCTGCTAAGTAATTGTACGCGTAATTCAAAAATCCTTCCACGCTTTGCCGCATCTTGGACATAGAGTCTTTTTTCATGAGACCATTCATTTGTCTCATATCTGCTGGGACCAGACCTGTCTCGATGTGTGGCAGCAAGCGGTTCACCTGCAAAACCAAAAGATAAAAGACGGATAGCAGAAGATTCAGACACATGCCTCACACAACGCTTTTAGCTA